AATCTTGGAGATGATCCAGATCACCCCCTCTGATGTCCTTACCGATGAGGGAGTTGTGGCACAAGGGATCAGGTACCTTGTTCAGAGTTACCTGACTGGCTAGTGCTAGTTTGCCAGGATCCCAGGCCCTCACTCTTTTTGCTGCAACAACACTGTACTTTCTCCTGGGCTCTTCTTTTCCAGAGCGAAGCACCTGCATTCCTTTCCGCTTAAGTCTTATTCTCTAAGCCCTTGAATTATTTACTGTATCCTCTGACTCCTTTTCAGTTCTTCCATCCTTCTGAAATGTGGAACCTAGTACTTGATACAGGTCTAATAATACATAAGAAAGGAATTCAGTTAGTTCTTGATCTGTGACATGTTCTTTGCTTTCTCGATCTTTGAGGAAGTGCTTTTTAACACACTAAGCAAGACATAGATCAAAGGAAATGCCTGTCAACATTTCTACCTCTCTCAAATTTAATTTTAAAGCTGGATAAACCTTCCCCAGAAGCCCTGGTGGCGTAGTGGGTTACGAGCTGGGCCACTAACCGCAAGGTCAGCAGGTGAAATCACAAGCGGCTCCATGGGAGCTTTTCTGCTCCCATGAAGACTTAGGGTCTCAGAAACCGCAGGGGCAGTTCTGCCCTGTCCTGTACAACCACTATGAGTTGGAATCCATTCAATGGCAGTGAGGATGACTTCCCCTTTATTGTTCCCAGTTGACTATTTGGTGTTCACTTGCTGTGTTAGGAGGATACCTGGTGGTGTAGTGGTTATGAGTTGGCCCAGTAACTACAAGGTCAGCAGTTCCAAACCACCTGCTGCTCTGAGCAAGAAAGATGGCTCTTTCAACTCCCGTGAAGAGTTACAGTGTAAGATATGACAAAGTAATAATAATTTATAAATTATCAAAGGCTCATGAGGGAGGGAGGGGAAAATGAGCTAATACCAAGGGCTCAAGCAGAAAGCAAATGTTTTGAGAATGATGATGGCAACAAATGTGCTTGACAACAACGTATGTATGTATGGATTGTGATAAGAGTTGTACGAGCTCCCAATAAAATGATTTAAAAAAAAAGAGTTACAGTTTCAGAAACGCACATGGGCACTTCTGTCCTGTTCTATAAGGTCAGTATGAGTCAGAATCGCGCAGATGGCATTGAGTTTTTTTGTTTGTTTGTTTTGTTTTCTGTTTAATTGCCTGTGGGCACAGCTGTCTTGATTGATTGAGTTACTTCCAAGTATCCCGAGCCTAATCTGTAACCTGTTGCTCCCCTAGTGCACGCCATGGTTGCGAGTATGGTCAGTGAGTTCTGTGTGGCCCTGCAATGAATTGTAGAGCCCAGCCCCTGCTGTTGGCTGCCACCGCCAGCAGTTTCAGTCGCAGCAACAACGGCAGCAGTGGTGATGAGAATGGCAGGAAGTAGGCTTCCATAAGGTTTTAATACGGTGCTCACACAGCATGACATCAGGTAACGTCATCTTTCACAGAGTGTACTGTGCACATTAATTAAATGACACATGCCTGTATAGTTATCAGTCATTTAACACCAATGCGCAGTATGTTTTAACTGTCTATATTCCAATTCTGTTATTTGACCCAAAAGTGTGTTTTAAAAATAGCTCACCGAGTAAATGATGCATATTTAAAATGCATCTGATAAGTTGTGACATAGGCATGTATTTGTGAAACCGTCACCACAGTCAAGATGTTCCCTAGTGCCTTTTGAAAACATCTCCCTCCTCCCTGGCCCTCTCCCCGTGCCTGGGAAGTTTCTGTTTCCACTATAGATTAGTTTGTGTATTTTAGACTTGTATGCAAATGGAACCATGCTCTAGGCATGCTTTTTGGCCTGGTGGCCTTTTTCATTCCACATAATTATGTTGAGATTTCATCCATGTGTTGGGTGTATCATAGCTTATTTCCCTTTATTGCTTAATCATATTCCACTCTGTGGATAAACTACAATTTAGTTCTTCATTTGCCTGGTTTATAGGCCTTTATGTTTCCAGTTTTTCATGATTGTGAATAAAGTTGCTATAAACAGTCCCATGAAGGTCTTTATGAAGACATGCTTTTATTTCTCTTGGGTACATACCTAGGAATGGGCTTGCTGGGTCCTACAGTAGCTCCGTGTAGCATTTTGACAACCTGTCAAACTTATAAAACAACATTTCACCTGTATTTCTTTTTTTTTTTACTTTAAAAAATTTTAATCGTTTTATTAGGGGCTCGTATAACTCTTATCACAATCCATACAGACATCAATTGTGTAAAGCACATTTGTACATTCATTGCCCTCATCATTCTCAAAACATTTCCTCTCCACTTAAGCCCCCGGCATCATTGACCTATATTTCACATCATCTACAGAAACTAACATGACAGACTTAATTGAAAAATGGAAGCTATATAGGTTATAGAAGAAAACATAGGAAAAAGGTCTTTTTGACCCCGAGTTAGGCAAAGAATTTCTAGGTGCAATGTGTGTTACTGCTCTGGCCCTCGTGGTGCGGCTTCAGCCTCTGCTGCCTTGCTCTCACCACTTCAGGCAGGGACCACACCTGTGCTCAGCTGGTGATGGTTCTTTCTTGATGAGTTTCAAATCTCTGTTCCTGCTTCTGAGATGGCTTGCTGGAATACCTAGTGGAATGGCAAAAGTGACCAATTCCCAAGTGGCCTCCTCTACACTTTGTTTACAGGGTCCTACCCATTCACTGCGCGGAAGTTTAAAAGACTGTGGAAAGAAGAGCGACACTAAGCAATTGCATTGCATCACACAATGTCAAACACATCCATGAAACGGAGGGAGAACCCTAACACACCTGATAATTGAATGTCATTAAAATTAAGAACTTCTGCTCTTCAATAGACACTTAAGAAAACAGAAGGGCCCGATTTTGGCTTTTTTTTGTTTTGTTGCTAGTCTGGTGAGTGATAAATGGTATCTCAATCTGTTTAATTTGCATTTCTCCTATTATGAGTGAAGGTGAACATCCCTTCATAGTCCTAAAGGCCATTTTGACGTATTCTTGTTCTTTTGCCCATTTTCCTATAGAATTTTGGGCCCCCAATTATTTTAAATACCACCTTTATCATTTACTTGCTTTCTGTGTGTAGCTGGGCTTATTTCTGGGCTATTATTTTATTGGATTGTCTATTTATATAAGTTGGGGGCTGACTTGATGGCAGTTAACAATAACAACTGCCACACAGTTTTAATTATAGAGATGTAGTGCTTCAATATCTGGTATTAGTCTCCCTTTATGACTCATTTTTATTATTTTCCTAAATACGCTTACATTCTTAGTTACTCACTTTAAGGTCAATTTGTCCAGCTACATTAAAAAACGTATTGTTAATGGCATTGCATCTGACATTCTGATGGAAGAACAAGGATGTTCAAGTCTTCTATTGTAACTTCTAGGAATTATCGTTTTTATAAATGGCTGTTAGGCTGGGTTCTCTAGCGAAGCAAAACTACATATATATATATATATATATATAAATAAATAAAATCTCAAGAAAATAGCACACACAATTGTAGATAAGTCCCGTCTGGTTCTAGTCTGTGGATCACGTTAAGCAGGATTCTTCCTAACTCCCTTAGTTGTGGGAAGCTGGCAAACCAGGAAGCAGAAAGATGAAGCAGGAAGAATACAAGCTGATGGATGTGGAGGCAGGTGAGTCTAGGGTCATCAGGTCAGGCTTATGGCTGCAGAGTCCAATGACTCCAAGGTTGGCAAGTCAGATGGCAGACTGCTGATGGCTCCCAGGGTTGGCAAGCAATGACAAACTGTTGGCTCCAGTCCAAAGAACATGAGGTCAATGAGCCAGATGCAGAATCCAGACAAGCGAGAAGCAAGCAAGTGTCCCCACAACATTCACTTATGTAGGAACTAGGCCACACCCCCAAGGAAACTTCCTTTCTATTGTGCCAAGGGATTGAATAAGGGGGTTGCATTCTGGCTTGATCATCTTAAAATGTATTGGCAGCTCACAGCGGATCCCATTATGGAGTTGATTACACTGTGTTAGTAACATCATGGAATATTACTAGGTCTTAACTGTCAAATCACTGAGAATCTTCACCAAGCCAAGTTGACACAAAAAACATCACAAAAGCTTTGGAATGTTTCCTGATAAGTTTATTCCTAAACTTTTATTGATTTTTATTGTTTTATTGATTTTGTCGTGGCTTATGAAAGCAAGGTTTCTTCATCTATTAGGAGAACAGTGGGTCATTATTTGTGGATAAGAAGGCTAATGGTTTTTTAACATTAATTTTTATATCCTGATACTTTGGTCAGTTCTTTGTATGGGTTGGCTTTATCCTTGATTATCTAGAATTTTTTTAGGCATGTTCTTTTAGCAGCAGCAGCAAATAAAGATAGTTTTGTAATGTTTCCACTTCTGCCTGTAATTGTTTTCTCTTGTCGAGTTGCGTGGGCTAATATTTCCAGCAGAGTGTTAAATAGGAGTGGAGATAGTGGGCATCTTGGCTTTGTTCATTACACTAGTTGGGATGCTTTCAGTGTTTCCTTGTTAAATAGAGTGCTGGCTTTAGCACTGAGATGTGATATTGGGCTTTTTAAAAAACATGTAATTTTAGGGCAGTTTGATATGAGGAATGGAAAAAAAAATTTCTAGCTCTCCTGCCCCCACCACCTTTGAGCTCCTAATGGAAGATGGGAACTGAAATCTGCCAGGTGGGGACGGGAGAGTTCTGTTCCTACGCTCCCTCTCCTTCCATCGGCATCACTCCCTCCATCCCTCTCAAACACTCTTGCCTTGATGAGGCACATTATCACCCTGGAGAGGTAGAGCAAGTCTGCGGTCCCATGTATGTCTGTTCTCCCACGCAGATTACCCGCTTGGTTAGAGGAAAGGCAGCTGGAGTCAACCTCCTGGTCTCCCTCTCTCACAGTACCCCTGCCCCTGCCCCTCCCCCATTGCTCTACTCCCTGCGGTGTGCAGTCACATGCCTCGTTGTGACAGTTCTCTCTCCTCTCCCTAGGTGCATGGCTGCCTCCTGATTCTGAAGGCCGGAGGAAGCTTCCCTAGAAGGGTGGTCAAGAAGTGCACGAGGCATACAGAGGGCAGCCCAGAGCCCTGTCTTTGCCCCCCACCCTCCCCTCTGGGGGCCAGGATGCTGAAGAAGCAGTCTGCAGGGATTGTGCTGTGGGGCGCTATCCTCTTTGTGGCTTGGAACGCCCTGCTCCTCCTCTTCTTCTGGACACGCCCGGCACCTGGCAGGCTGCCCGCAGACAGTGCTCTTGATGATGACCCTGCCAGTCTCACCCATGAGGTGATCCGTCTGGCCCAGGAAGCTGAGGTGGAATTGGAGCGACAGCGGGGGCTGTTGCAGCAGATCAAGCAGCACCATGTTCAGTGGCGGCAGCATTTGAAGGTGCCCACTGTGGCTCCTCCTGCACAGCGTGTGCCTGTGACCCCACTGCCAGCGGTTATCCCCATCCTGGTCATTGCCTGTGACCGTAGCACCGTCCGGCGTTGCCTGGACAAGCTGCTGCATTACCGGCCCTCTGCCGAGCACTTCCCTATCATCGTCAGCCAGGACTGTGGGCATGAGGAGACTGCCCAGGTGATTGCTTCCTACGGCAGCGCCATCACGCATATCCGGCAGCCTGACCTGAGCAACATTGCTGTGCCGCCTGACCACCGCAAATTCCAAGGCTACTACAAGATCGCCCGGCATTACCGCTGGGCGCTGGGCCAGATCTTCCATCGATTCAAGTTCTCAGCGGCTGTCGTGGTTGAGGATGACCTGGAGGTGGCACCAGACTTCTTCGAGTACTTCCAGGCCACCTACCCGATGCTGAGGGCTGACCCCTCACTCTGGTGTGTGTCTGCCTGGAATGACAACGGCAAGGAACAGATGGTGGACTCGAATAAGCCCGAGCTCCTCTACCGCACGGACTTTTTCCCTGGCCTGGGCTGGCTGCTGCTGGCTGAGCTCTGGGCCGAATTGGAGCCCAAGTGGCCCAAGGCCTTCTGGGACGACTGGATGCGCAGGCCAGAACAACGACAGGGAAGAGCCTGTGTGCGGCCTGAAATCTCAAGAACGATGACCTTTGGCCGCAAGGGTGTCAGCCATGGGCAGTTCTTTGACCAGCACCTCAAGTTCATTAAGTTGAACCAGCAATTTGTGCCCTTCACCCAACTGGACCTGTCCTACCTGCAGCGGGAGACCTACGACCGGGACTTCATTGCTCGTGTCTATGGTGCTCCCCAGCTGCAGGTGGAGAACGTGAGGACCAATGAGAGGAAGGAGCTGGGGGAGGTACGGGTGCAGTACACAAGCAAGGACAGCTTCAAGGCCTTTGCCAAGGCCCTGGGTGTTATGGATGACCTCAAATCAGGGGTCCCCAGGGCTGGCTATCGGGGCATTGTTAGTTTCCAGTTCCGGGGCCGCCGCGTGCACCTGGCGCCCCCGCAGACCTGGAGTGGCTATGACCCTAGCTGGAATTAGTCTGCCCCCTGCCCCTCCTCGGCCCTGCCCTCGCCGTATCATAGGCAGCGGCAGGGCCACAGTCCTCAGGCGGTGTCATCTTGTCTAGGTTTCCCTCTTGAGTCCATTTATTTTTATTTTCTTTTTAGAGTGGCATCCGAGGGCAAGGTGATAGGGCAAGGGCGTTCCCTCCGTCTCACCAGGGGTCAGGTCGGGAGAATCTTTCTGGATTGGTATGTTGGGAGGTATTTGGCAAGAAACCACTGTGTGGTAAAGGGAGACTTGGGTTTCTGCGTCCAGTGTTCAACCAGGGCATCTGTAGAGAAGTTGATGACTTCAGTTCTCGTGACCGGGCCCCTTCTCCCCTGATCTGGCTCTTTTGTCATCCCTCCTCCACCTTTTCCCCATCTTTCACCAGGATGTGTGTGGGGCGGGGACTGGATTGTGTGAGAAAGGGGATGTACCTGTGGCCCAAACAAGACTAACCAAAGGGATTTCACCGCCAGGGTCGGAGTGGAGTTGTTTTTGTCAGGATTGACTGCCCCGCCTCTTGTTTCTTCCACCTCGGTGCTTTTACTTTTTCTTCCCATCCCTGTGACCTCCGCTTTCTCCCAGCAGCCCTGCGGTTTGTGCTTCTAGGAGGAAAAGCTGCAGGGGAGAAGCCAGACCTCACCGCAGCGCTTCACCAGCTGTGGGAAGCGAACGTGGGGAAGAGAAAGCCGCAGCTGTGGCTGGGACAGCCTACTCCTCATCACTTGTCAAAGAGACGGGCAGTCTCCTGCACCCCTGCCCCGGATGTCGCTGCCTTCCCTGTTACTAGGAAGGTTCAGCGCTGACTTGTTGAAAGAGATCATTGGCTCCTCTTATCCCTTCTTCCCTTAGGATTTGGTGCACAAGCTCCTCCGTGAGGTCTTTGGCTTTTGGTATCTTCTCTTCCTCAGTGCGAGGCAGAAGGGTCAAGACCAGAACCACTTCAGCTCTGGTGCCAGGGCTTGCAAGCCCCCCAGCCCACATTCCCATATCCTAACGGGTTAGGATGCAGGTGGCAGGTTGGAGAGGAATTTGTGTGCTGTTGTTTCTTGCCTGACCTCAATTTCATGTACGAAAGTTGAAGCTACAGAAATATTTTCAAAAATAAAGTAAAGGCTGTATTGTCTGAAAAACAGTTGTGTGTGTATATGTCTTTGAAAAAAGGCCGTGAAAGGTTGTGGGGAGAGAAAGGAAAGGAAAAGGGTACTCAAGGAAAAGACTGGAAAAGCAAGAAGCAAGTTGAATGAGCAAGGAAGGAGTGGAAAGGGACAAAAGCTATTGGCAACTGAGGGAAGGGTCTGGGTGTGAAAGAAAGGCCATGCTTGACAGAGGGGAGAGAGCCCTTGAGGACTAGTTTTCCCTAGAGGTGAGTCCATGGGTGAGTAATGACCTCAGCAGGATGGTCATTGAGCCCACTTAGGGGTTGCTAAGCAGACCTGGGCTGAGAACTCAAAATGCTAAACCTGATTAGCCCTCACAGGGATGAGCACCTTTGCAGGCCACCCACTGCAAGATTAAGTAGTAGTCATTGGACACTGGTGAGTGCCAAATAAGTCTGACAACGAGGTAGACTATGGCAGTGGGAATTCCATTTCCCGTGTTCCTGGTGAAAATGCCTTTTATTATTGCCATCCAGAACACATACACAACATGTAACAAGTAAATGTTCCAGAAGCTGCCATGTTGTGTACAGTGCAGTCTGCTACTCTACTGGTTTTTCTTTAAATATTCCTTGCAGTATGAACTTGATTTCACTAGGGCCTTTGGAAAACCTTGATTTTTTGCTGTTGGTAGGGGACCTAGCACCGTAACTTTGAGGCATTTTTGTGGAGCTCCATAGTGAAGCATGGGGATCCAGAACACTTAGCTGTGCTCTTGCAGAACCTGAACAAACCTACGCACAGACCAAGAGGCTGTCATTTGAACACAACACAGGGACATCGGTTTTAAAATCATGAAAGGTGTGCGCCGGGTAGTATCTTCACAATACTTTTTGCATCTGTATGCTGAGCAAATCCCAGAAGCTGGGCTCTGAAGAAGGTGGCATCAAGATCGGAAGAAGGCTTGTTGGAAAACTGCTAAACGCAGAAGGCACCACTTTGCTCACTGGAAAGTGAGGATGTCTCGAAGCACCTACCTATGGAGATCAAAAACGACAACTTTCAATATGGATTACAACTCAGTATAAAGAAAATTCAGATCTTCAAAACTGGGTCAATAAATAACATCCCCCAACAAAAGTTTAAAGGGGTCAGACAGATATTTCATTTTATGGGATTCACCATACATACCCTTGAAAGTCCACGCACTCGCTGCCATCTAGTGGATGAAGACAACACGTCGCAGTGCCCTCCAGCAGTGGAAAGCCGGTCTTCCTCCCAGAGAGCCGCTGGTGGTTTGGAACTGCTGAGTCTGTATTAGCAGCCCAACTTGTAACCACTACACCACTCGGGCTGAGATCAGCAGTCAGGAAATCATGACACACTGTGCTGGGCAGATTAGCTGCAAGATTTCTTTAAAGTGTTAAAAAGCAAAGGTGACATTTTGAAGCCTCAGATGCGCTGACCCAAACCGTGGCATTTTCAGTCATCTCATATGCATGGGAAGATGGGACAATAAATGCCAAAGAACTGATGCCTTTGAATGATGGTGTTGGAGATAAGCATTAAACCACAGACTGCTAGAGAACAAAGAAATATGTCTTGGAAGAAATACAGCCTGAAGGCTCCTTAGAAACAGGGATGGCAGGACTTCATTTCATGTTCTTTTGAGAGATCATTTTCTGGAGAACATCATGCTTGGTAAAACAGGGTCAGCTAAATAGGGCATCTTGTTTGATAAGACAGAAGGTCAGCTAAAAAGAGGAAGACCCTCAACAAGATGGATTGACATAGAGGCCACAACATTGGCAATGACAGTGAGAACGGAGCACCAGGCAGTTTCCTTCTGTTGTACATAGGGTTGCTATGAGTTGGAGTTAACCTGGCAGTACCTAATAATATTGACCTTCCCTTCTTGCTTGTAGAGATTATGTGTGCTTGCATGTAGGGAGATTATGGTCCGTAATTTTCAGATAAGGAAGTAGGCCTAGAGAGAAGCATGACTCATCACTCCTGACCAGCGAATGAAGAGTGCTTGGCCTGCCAGATTGCATGCTCTTAGCTTTTAATTTCGCCATCACTAAGTGCCAGGAATGGTTCTGAGTGTTCTACAGTTACTATCAACACCAACTCATTTACTCCTCAAAGCAATCCTGGAAGGTAAGTATTATGATTACTAGTGGTTTACAAGTGAGGAAGTGAGAGGTTCCCTTGCCCAACGTCACAATGCCGCGTAGGGCAGAGCTAGAATGTGACTGTAGGCCCTTTGATCCTTCAGTCCATGTTGTTCAATACAATGTGTTGCTCTAAAACAGTCAGGGAACTCTGGTGGTGTACTAGTGAGTTGCACAATGAGCTGCCAACCACCAGGTCAGCTGTTCAAGCCCGCCAGTCTCTCAATGGGATAAAGATGAGGCTGTTTACTCCTGTAAATATTTAAAATCTTAGAAATCCTTTTCTATAGGTTTGCTATGAGTCATAATTGACGCGATGGCAGCAAGTTAGAGCTGAGACAAAGCCAGTCCAGCCCTTTGTCCATGGTACCTTGCTCCCAGCCTCACCTTGGCTCCCTTTCCTCGGTCTCCAGAACCTCCATGGTGCTGCATTCTGAGAGCAAGCAGTAGCGAGAGACTGCAGGTGAGTGGCGGCCTGGGCCAGACTCCCGGGAGGGGTTGCGGAGGAGGAATCCTGTGGGATTTGGGAAACTGCTAGAGGCCAGAGGACATTCTTAGAAGATAGAGACCTGGCTGCTCAGATTTCACCTGAAGTGAGAAGCACTTCCAAGAGTCTCTCGCATCTTTTCCGGCATGTTCCTAGAGAGGGCTCATTCAACAAGTCCAGGCACCCTTGGATGCTGCTCTGTGTATGCCGACTGCTGCCGCTTAGGAAGCAGGGCTCTTCTGTGGGTAGGAAAGCGCGCAGAAATAACAATACCAAGTGTAAAAGCATTCAGCATTGCAGAATCCCACTAAGCTTGAGCTCAGAGATTTAAAGATAAGTCCAAAGAGGTCAATCAGGTTACCACCACTTCTTCATTAGTTGGAGGTTAACAGAAATGGTCATTTGTCGATGGGCATGTACCTGTCAGGCTGCAAGTCTGCAAGGGGTGGTGGTGGGGGGGTGGCTCAGCGGCCCCATGGGGAATCCAGTGTTCTTGTGGGCACAGCAGTGACTGTCTCTGCTTCTGCTGCTGTGTTTGTGTTTTTGCTTCTAGAGATGTTGTTTTCCTCGTCCATCTCCCATTTGTCACCCGCCCCCTCCCCTGCTCCCCTACCCCCTTGTTTCTGCTGGATTCAGGATGGCTATTTTTGCCTCTCCTCCTGGAATCTCTTGACCTTTGTCATACTCTCTTATCTGGGTCACTGGTGGGATCTCATTTAGAAGGTCAATCATTCCTGGTGTTGTGGGTATTGCAATGGGCCGCTAACCAAAGATCAGTTTGAAACCACCAGGAGATCCTTGGGAAAAAGATGAGGCTTTCTACTCCCATAAAGATTTATGGTCTCAGAAACCCACAGGGGCAGTTCTACTCTGTCCTGTAGAGTCTCTAGAGACAGAATTAACTCGATGACGGCGAGTGAGTAACATACAGGTATATGTATCTTAGCCTGGGTTCTCTAGACCAGGAAAACTAGTGAGGCACATATAGCAATATAGAGAAATCTACTTCAAGGTAATGACTCATAGAAAATGTGGGTGCTGGCAAGACCCAAATCTATGAGTCAGTTAGGCTGATAACCTCTGTTAGTTCACCTGGCTGTAGGAACTGATGAAGCCAAACTTTGTGGATCAGGTGGCAAGCTACAGGTCTCTGCTGGCCCACAGGGATTCGGGGCATTGATAAACCTACAGCTTCAGTGGTAGGCCAGAGACTTCTGCAGGCCGTACGTTTTGAGAACCTGAGTCCAGAAAACAACAAGAGTACTGAGTTGAGAAAATGAGAACCAGCTTTGGCAGAACAGCTATTTATAAATCGGAGGCAGGCCACATTTCTAAGGAAACTACCCTTTCCAACTGATTAGTTGCTCACACTAGAACACAAAATAGAAGATGATTACACAGCATCTGTCAAACATCTGAGAATTACAGCCTAGCCAAATTGACACAACACTAATCATCACAATATATGATAATTTTTCTTAAATATTTATATACGCCCCATATATGTGTGGGGCTGCTAACCACAAGGTCAACAGTTCGAAACCACCAGCCACTCTATAGGAGAAAGGGGTTTTTTCTACTCCTGTAAAGACTCATAGCCTTGGAAACTCACTGAGTCAGTTCTACCCTGTCGTATTGGGTCACTGAGACTCAGTATTGATTTGATGGCGGTAAATTTGTTTTTTAACTGGCATTTTACATATCATACCACTCAGTAGTTAAATCACATCAAGAAGTGTTATACAATCAGTTCTAGAACCTTTTCTTCATTCTTGTACTCATTGACTCCTCATTTCTCCCTAACTCTCCTGCCACACCCCCAAGGATCCACTAATCCACTCACTGTCTCTATAGATTTACTTATCCTGGATTTCATATACAGGAAAACATATCAAACAAAACAAAACAACAACTAACAATAACAAAGTAAAACAATCTTCAATTGCAAAGAAAGCAGAAAATATTAAACTAGAACAAATTTATAATGGATCAAAAAGGAGATCAAATGATAAGGTGTGAAATTTTAACCTAACTGCATCTGCAACAATCTCCTTTCCAGTGTGTTCTGCATGATAGCCAGCCTATCCACATCACTGTCTATGGTCACCAAGGGTGTGACCGTCACGTATTTCCTCTTCACCTTTTTTTAACTGAAACAACTTTAAAATGAGTCAAAAGAGAGTTCAATAGATATCACTTTATAACCTGATTTCTTTCATGTAACAATGTCAGATATTCATCTTTAACATTCTTTACATCATTTATCCTTTATCTTAAATATCTTTAGTACACTACGTTTCAGACTTCCTGATGGACTCTCTATAGAGATCACAAGAACCTGATCCAGTTTCCCCATGGTCTGTTCTCTGTAC